TTTTTGCGCACAGGAAATTTGACTCGTTTGCACATCGTCATAAAAAACAATTTTCGTACCACGAATTAGGGACAAGATTTTTATCTGTATACTTATAAGATACCTAATCTGTGATATTAGCAAAAACATGTCGTTATTGAGTCTTTTAAATGAAGAAAATTATAATGTACGTGAAAGATATCATGATACAGACTTTCTAGGCACTGTTTTTGCATTTTTTGTATCACTAACATAAAAATTATTACTCTAATTACAAAATTATTGATTAATCTCTTTTATCTTCAGTTAAAAAAAAAGATTTATTTTTTATAATGTAAAAGTTTGTTTAAATATTATTAGGTAAAATAGCAAATATTTTACGTTTATGCAGCATTATGTTGTTTTTTATTTAATCTATTAATTCTTTTATTAAATTTTTTAATACACCTGACCTCGGCAACATAAAGTCAAAAATACAGTTGTTTCGATCCAAGTTACAGTACGTCTGTCCGTTCTGTAGCTACGGGGTATCCGTGAGAGGGGAAACGATATTCTCTCGATGTTTTTCGTAAAAAAATAGACGACGCGTCCCATCAATAAAAATTAAACAAATTTGCAAGTAGCCAATAAAATGAGTGGGCGTAGCGATTTGCGGTGAGACGCACTCGTCAAATCGACGTATAAAATATATTGCTGTTTATTTAAATATTTTTTGTCCGCATTCCTTTCATAGACACAGATCCAGCAGATGTACTGTATGTCATCATATTCGACGTCGTATTGGTTTTCAGGATTTTTTTTCATAACACGGACAATAGAGTTACAATCTGTGACGTAACAGCCAATGATCAAAAAAACAAAGCGTAGATGAGATAATATAAAATAAGAGATGATATAAAATACCAGAAATACAATTTAAACAAAACTAATCACAGGTGGATTTATCCTTTTCTATTTGAAACTGGTATATGCAATTTGATTTTGTGGATTTCCCTGTTTTTTTTTATTTTCTCGACTTTGAGGTCGGTTTTAAATGGAATTTAAGAAAACAAACCAAAATTGTTATTAAATTTATCTCGTTGAACGGCTAATTGTTTTTATTATTACAAAATTATTCTTCAGAATATATTTATTTATGTACTGCAAAATTTTATTGATGTGTATCAGTTCTATGTCTCAGGGCGCATCGCTGGACCTCGCATTTTTTGTGGCGTCGTAGGCAGTAGGGCCGTGCCGAATTTATTAAATTAAAAAATTCCTGTCGATAACCCTTTATGGTTTGAAAACGTGTAAATGATATAACGTGGCTTGATACAGTTTGTTTATACTTATATTTTTCATATTTGCTGTGCTCCATTCGCGAATTTCAAGTTCTAGAGCTTTACGCCTTGGGCTGCTCAGAACGGTTCTGAAAGGAGCTGTGCGCGATGAACAACATGAACTACGTTATTTCTTGTGCTATGGCCTGGTGCCTCCCTTGTGCCTCCATATGGCACGGAACAGTTCTGAACTTTTTGACTCAATTGAATGGAGGAAGAGTATCGCGTTCTTGAACAGTTCAGAACTGCTCAACTGCGTGAAAGGAGGACAGCAATAGTTACATGTCGTTGAAATGTAGTTTTTATAATATTGTACGCAATAATCATAACTATCGATCTCTAATAAGAATGCCCCTCTCTAATGAGATATTACATATATATTACATCAAAACTGACAATCAATACCGAAAGCTGCTGCTGTGAACGAATAGATAGGAAAAATGTTTCTCGTGTAATTTGTATGAAGCGGGAAAACGTATTTTGTATTTCACGGATTATGTATCAATAAATTTGGCGTGCAAGAGAAAAGTGTTTTGGTGTATATTGTGGTGAATTAGTGTTTTATTTTGCTATTGTAACACCAAAGTTCCAACCTTCAACTCTAATAGAAATTACGTACAATATTTTATCTGAAAGGGTAATACCATAGGGTAAGACACTTAAAATCGAGTATAAACAATTTATTATACTCAAAACACACTTTTTGTATATTTGTTACTTCGCGATTCATTATTACAGGTGTTAAGTAAAGATGTAATAATGCTAGTACCGAAAAGTGTAATTGTATAAGTTTTAGTTCTGGTTATTTCTAATTGAACTTAAAAACGGTTAAAGGGGTATGTTTTTATACTGAAATAGATAAATTAATCATAATGGCGTAGTATCTTCGTAATGGTAATAGTATCTTTGCACTTTACCATACAGGTATTTTGTTTCCATTTTTTTTGAATTTTTCACTCTTTCAGTAATTTTTGACTTGTTAGTGGCATTTTCTCGTATGAATAATTAAAAATATACTTAGATCATGTAGGAAGTGGCAATATTGCATCCCTTTCAGTGCCGTAACCATGGTAATATTAGAGATTAAAAAATTATACCGTGGGAAAATTTGCGGTTAACAGGCAGTTCTAAAAAGTTTTCGAAAAATACAGGGAAATTTAAAAGAAAACGCACGATTTTCAACATCTTTTTTTTTGCGAAAAAAACCTCGTAGACTTGTTCCTGGGGTCGAAATATACCAGCCCTGAAAATATTTGCACTTATTTAAGACTCACCCTGTATAATAAAAATATATTAAATTTATGGCTCATGTCTAGCAATTTTGCAATTTTATACAGGGTTGTTCACCACATACGACACGGAGTATTGTAGCTAAACGATTAGATTTTTACAAATTGTAAGTTTTGGGTTCGTTGAAGGACTATTAGAGCTACAATTTAAAAATATTTTTACAAGATACAGAGTGTCCCAAATTAAAAAAAAATATCAAAGTTATATTTTTTTAAATGGAACACCCTGTATATTATTGCATTTTTAGTTTCTACGATTAAAATAAAGGTAAATTTGATTAAGGTTTATTAAATCTTACCGTTTTTGAAATATTTTCAATTTTGAGAAATTGCAGTATAAATTTTAAAGCTTCATTTCTCCGAGGGTATCAAAGTTTTTAATACTAAATATTTACTAAAGTTTATTTATTGATCAGTTATTGTGTTGCAATAATAAAAATTTTACTACCTTATACAGAGTGTCTAAATATTTATTTTAAATAATTGTTAGATTTAAACGGCAATAACTTGTTTAATTTAAATGGAACACCCTGTATATTTTATGAGAATCAGATGCACAATTTAATTGTCTATCAAATTGTATTATACCATTTTTTTACCTATCTCTTCAAGCTTCCGTAGAAAATGCATTTTCTTGTAATTTGGAACTCATTTATCAATATACCCATGGAATACTGACATTTTAGATTATTTTTAAAGATGTACCAACTTTTTAAAAAGTACAGATACTAATATTGACAATATAGTTCGTTTATTTCATTAAAAAATAAAAAAAAACTGTTTAAATATTTGTTAAAGAGGATCAATTAATATGATTCCAGTATTCAAACTACATTAATTGACTGTTTGCGTTAATTAATAATAATTGCTCTAAAAACTAAAAAACTGAATTATTTATGTGTATTAGACAGTGAGGTAAAAAAACCAACACCTTAAAAATGATATTTCATTTTTTGACCAATGCTTATTTATAACAACAGAGACGTTCATTTTCATAACTTATTATTATATTGATTTCTGATTCAAATCCTCATTTATTTAGAATAATTTATTAACGAACACAATTAAGTATGTAATTAATTAGTATTTGGGCGGAAATACTGGTGGTATATTTAATTAATGGTATACTCTTTTATAAAGATTTAAATAGTTTTCTTTTTGCATACAAATGGACTAGTAATATCATCGTTTTACCAAATACGATAATATTACTAGCCTGTACATTTTGTACATTTGTTGTTTTAACAATAATCTAACATGTCAATATTCCATGGGTATATTGATAAATGAGGTCTAAATTATAAGAAAATGCATTTTCTACGAAAACTTGAAGGGATAGGTAAAAAGCGGTATAATACAATTTGATAGACAATTAAATTGTGCTTCTGATTCTCATAAAATATGCAGGGTATTCCATTTAAATTAAACAAGTTATTGCCGTTTAAAGCTAGTAATTATTTAAAATAAATTTTTAGACACTCTGTATAAGGTAGTATAATTTTTATTATTGCAACACAATAACTGATCAATAAATAAACTTCAGTAAATATTTAGTATTAAAAACTTTGATACCCTCGGAGAAATGAAGCCTTAAAATTTATACTGCAATTTCTCAAAATTGAAAATATTTCAAAAACGGTAAGATTTAATAAACCTTAATCAAATTTACCTTTATTTTAATCGTAGAAACTAAAAATGCAATAATATACAGGGTGTTCTATTTAAAAAAATACAACTTTGATATTTTTTATTTATTTGAGACACTCTATATCTTGTAAAAATATTTTTAAATTGTAGCACTAATAGTCCTTCAACGAACCCAAAATTTACAATTTGTAAAAATCTAATCGTTTAGCTATAATACTCCGTGTCGTATGTGGTGAACAACCCTGTAGATAAACGTTGCAATATCGATTTTTTTTCTCGAATTCCTTCCTTAGCTTCAGTTCCGCTGGTCGAACAGTATGACACATAGGAACCGGTAATCATGTATTGCTTTGTATCTACCGGGTGTTGCATCGTCGAGCGGGACATAGGAAATCCCATGTAAATTTTAATGGAGTCAATTATTGGCTTCCCTAATTATTTTAGAGAATAATTCTATTTAGGTTTATTGAAGAGCACTAAAACCCACATTCAAAAGAATAACTTTAGATATTTTTGATTAGCCCGTTTACGAGTTATCGCCGATTTTTTTAAAAATATTTCTCCTTTCTTATGGCACTGTATTTACTTATGAGCACCAGTCAAGGTAAAAGATAACTGTCAAATGAAGTTGTCTAATAGAATTTTTTTTTAGCCCATTTTTCTGTCGCTACTAGTTCCAACGTAGCTGAACTTAGTCTAAATAAAATTATAGTGTTGTTAGTTTATAAATCAAGCTAAAATTAAATTAAATGTACTTTATTTTTAGGCTTTTCTTCTTATGCTGTGAAATGAACAATATTGCTACAAATTTACTAGCCTATACTGACATCGACACTAGTGATAATAAATTAATGATACTGGATATCATAGAAACATTAGTCAACAATGTTAGTAGTGAAAATCCACAATCCATATCTTGGATAGTTGCTTGTTTAGGCCCATTTATACGATCAGAGTTAGAGCCACAAAAGGTGGCGGTTGTTGCATTCTTCACTTATTTATTGAAACATGGCGCCCAGAGTGACCAGACAGTATTAATTGAAAATCTTTTGGAAATGATTTTGGATGTACAATTGGATCAGAGCTGTTTAGTTAGAAAAATTGGACTAGAAGGTATAGGTTATGCAGCTGAAAACTTGAAAAAAGAACTAGTTTCCAGATATTGCAACCAGATTTTAGGTGTCCTAATGAATAGTTTAGATTATCATAGTGTTGGGTAAGATTAATAACGTGAATAAATTTCGGATATTTATCTTGGTTGTTTTAGAACTGAAAGTAATGTTATACTCCAAGCCTTATTAACATTATCCAAATTACTTAAAGCCTTAGAGGGATATAAATTTAATGCATTTCAAGTAACTGCAGCAGTTAGGATAAAACCTTTATTTACCCAAGAAGCTAGAGAATTAAGACAAGCTTCTATTCGTTTATTAGGAGATCTAACGTCCTCCTTGAGTCCAGAGTCAAACCTTGAGGCATTCAAAGAACAAATTCAAAGCAATATTATAACACTTTTACTTCATTTATCCGATCCAGATGGCGAAGTTATCAAGGTAATCCAATCATATTAGTTATCTGTTGATTTAGTTATTTGATTTTAAAATTTGTACATTTAAAGGTGATTTTATATTATAAATAAATAATAGGCGTTTTATTTTTACAGTTTTTTGTTAATGAATTCATCATTTGCGTAATTAGCAGAGGGTAGAAGTCATTTGATTGTTATCAAATAAATTTCAAAAATAGGATAATTGAATAGAAAAAAGTTAAAACTCTTGATTTAGGCTTACTTCAGGATAAACCAGAAATGATATTGTATTATTATTATTATTCTTTTATATACCGGGTGTCTCTCAAAAGTAGCTCACCCCCTATAACTGTTTTATTTTTTCAGATAAAAAAAAACGAGATTTGGTATGTTAGTATATGACATAAATTAGGATTGATTGGCATATTCAATTATTTTCGGTCCCTTCCTGTTTCACCGGAAATGACTACAACTTTTGATTATTAAATGACAGCCTTGGTATTTTTTAACTTATTTGATAGAAATCCATCCTTAACTTGCCAGGGCAAGATACGAAAAACATTAGACGATCAAATCTATTTTCCCAAGGTTCCTTGGTTAAAAATTAGTGTTTTTAACACAGCCATGGCGCTCTAGATTGAAATTTAAGATACGATTTTTTTTAAGCGAGAATGTCAAAACATTTTATTTAGACATTTCAGTCATCTTCTATCGAATAAATTAGAAAAAAGAATACCGAGAGTGCCGTTTAAAAATCAAAAGTTTTAGTCATTTTCGGTGAAACAGGAAGTGAACGAAAACACTTGAATACGTCAATTAATTTCTTTTTTTATTCGAAAAAATAAGAAAGTTATAGGGAGCCACTTTTGAGACGCACCCGGTATAATACCTTAATTGAGAACATGAGTTATGACAGCGCTGTACTTTGTACCCAAGATTATTTTTTAATAAGCAATCAAATGGGGCGTTGTACAAGGTGGACCATTTTGGTTGTTGCTATAGGGTATCTAGGAAACCGTGAGAAATATTCAAATTTTGATACTGCAGTCTCGGGTTCTTTTTTTGATAAAATTACAATGGCGCAAACGGATCGTGGCTATCTTGATCGGTTTCGAAGCTACAGGGGGATTCCCAAATTTTGTACTTTTTAAAGATGTTCGATAGTTTGTTTATTTCAGCAACCACGGAAAAATGAATTATACATTCTAAAGGCACTTTTCTGTGTAGAATGCAGTGGCGTAGTCAGACTTTTTTCGAAAAAAGTATTTTTTGAGATATTAACTGTACTTATGTTTTTTTAAATAGAACCCCCTGTATATTTTTAAATTTTCTAATTCAGCTTGGCATGGGCTTCTCGAGAATATATAACACTCTATATTTATTTTCACTATTAACCTCAACATTTCAAATTTTTCTAAAATATTAACTTGGTAGATAGTAGGCCGCGCCGAGTAACAAAGTAATCGGTTGTCAGGGTGATCGGGACATACCTTTGATGGATGCGTGACATTTCATTTCAATAGATTGAAGTGTGTGTATTTTAAATTATTAAAAAATGAGTAAATTTGAAAATTTTGAGAAATATAATATGTTAGAATGTTATATTGAGTCTAACAAACATAAGCAAATGGCAGCTGATTTATATTTTGAGCGGTATCCAGAGCGCGAGCAACCAAACCCATCAGCCATGTTTAAAAGGTTAGAAGATAGCTTAATCAATTTTGGATCTTTTCAAAAATCCCGTTTGAAAAATTATCAGAAAGAAGATGAATATAATCAATATATTAATGTCCTCGGAGCCGTAACACTAGATCCAACAACATCAAGTAGAGCTATTGAAATGCTGTTAGTAGCGGCGTGCGGAGACGGTACCAACTCTGTCTAGATAATAATGGGCAGCAGTCTGAACATTTAATGTAGTCTTTGTGTTTTTATTTTTTTATATTAACTGAGAAGCCCGGTACCTCTTGAGTTTATATTAAAATATGTTCTTTTGTTTCTGTCACACTTATTTTTTATTTGCTTCGTATTGTTCGATTTTATTTAATTGCTAATTCATGTATTCGGCCCCGAGGACATTAACATATTGATTTTCTTCATCTTCTTTCTGATAATTTTTCGAATGCGGATTTTGAAAAGATCCAAAATTGATTAAACTATCTTCTAACCTTTTAAAAATGGCTGGGTTTGGTTGCTCGCGCTCTGGATACCGCTCAAAATATAAATCAGCTGCCATTTGCTTATGTTTGTTAGACTCAATATAACATTCTAACATATTATATTTCTCAAAATTTTCAAATTTACTCTTTTTTTTACTATTTAAAATACACACACTTCAATCTGTTGAAATGAAATGTCACGCATCCATCAAAGGTACGTATGTACCGATCACCATGACAACGAATTACTTTGTTACTCGGCGCGGCCTACTATCTACTAAGTGGATATTTTAAGAAAAATTTGAAATGTTGAGGTTAATAGTGAAAATAAATATAGAGTGATATATATTTTCGAGAAGCCCATGCCAAGCTGAATTAGAAAATTTAAAAATACGCAGGGTTGGTGCTATTTAAAAAAAACATAAGTATAGTTAATATCTCAAAAATATTTTTTTCGAAAAAAGTCTGACTACGCCACTGCATTCTACACAGAAAAGTGCCTTTAGAATGTATAATTCATTTTTCCGTGGTTGCTGAAATAAACAAACTATCGAACATCTTCAAAAAATACAAATTTTAAGAATCCCCCTATAGCTTCGAAACCGATCAAGATAGGCACGATCCGTTTCCGCCATTGTAATTTTTTCAAAAAAAGAACCGGAGACTGCAGTATCAAAATTTGGATATTTCTCACGGTTTTCTAGATACCCTATATATAGTAACAACCAAAATGGTCCACCCTGTACAATAGTTTTGTAGTCACCCAGTAAATTTATAATAACGTATACAATATTTACTTTATAGGCTTGTAAGTACACATTAAGAAGAGTTGGACCATATTTGGAAAGTTCAGAAACGAATCAAATGATACAAGAACATCTTATCGATGAAGCTAATCTTCACTATTCCGATTTCATTAAAGACCTTATAAAAAGTATGGTAAGTGCTTTGATTATCCATAATTTAGTATCAGAAATAAATATTTCAGAAATTAAATTTGTATTCTGTTATGCATATAATTTCTTCTGATTTTGTTATTAGAACCGTAAAGGGATCACAAAAATTAATTTCTTATTGCCTCGTTACATTATTCATAACGGTATATACAGGGTTGTTCACCACATACGACACGGATTATTGTAGCTAAACGATTAGATTTTTATAAATTGTAAGTTTTGGGTTCGTTGAAGGACTATTAGAGCTACAATTTAAAAATATTTTTACAAGATACAGAGTGTCCCAAATAAGTAAAAAATATTATAGTTCTATTTTTTTAAATGGAACACCCTGTATATTATTCTATTTTTGGATTCTACGATTGAAATAAAGGTAAATTTGATTAAGGTTTATCACACTTAAACTTTACCGTTTTTGAAATATTTTTAATTTTATGAAATTGCAGTAAAAAATTTAAGGCTTCATTTCTCCAAGGGTATCTAAGTTTTTAATACTAAATATTTACTGAAGATTATTTATTCATCAGATATTGTGTTGCAATAATCAAAATTTTACTCCCTTATACAGAGTGTCGAAAAATTTATATTAAATAATTACTAGCTTTAAACGGAAATATCTTGTTTAATTTAAATGGAACACCCTATATATTTTACTTGAATCAGATGCACAATGTAATTGTCTATCAAATTGTATTATACCATTTTTTACCCATCTCTTCAAGTTTTCCTAGAAAATGTATTTTTTTAGAATTTAGACCTCATTTATCACTATACCCATGCAATATTGACATTTTAGCTTATTTTTAAAGATGTAACAAATATTTAAAGGGTACAGATACCAATATTGTCGACATAGTTCGCTTATTTGATTAAAAAATAAAAAAAAACTGTTTAAATATTTTTTGTTAAAGAGGATCAATTAATATGATCCCAGTGTTCAAACTACATTAATCTCGACATTAATTGACTGTTTACGTTGATTAATAATAATTGCTCCAAATACTAGAGAACTGAATTTTGTGTGTGTATTAGACGGTGTGGTAAAAGTTCCAATTTTATTTCATTTTTTGACGAATGCTTATTTATAAAAACCGAGACGTTCATTTTCATAACTTATTATTATATTGATTTCTGAGCCAAATCCACATTTGTAGAATATTTTATTAATTAAAACAATTTAAAAGTATGTAATTAACTAATTTTTGGTTGGAAATAATGGTGGTATATTTAATTGATATACTCTTTTACAAAGATTTAAATAGTTTTTTTGTATGCCAACGGGCTTGCAATATTTACCACTTGTACATTTTGTACATATACCTATAGTGCTATAAAAAATCTGAAATGTCAATATTCCATGGGTATAGTGATAGATGAGGTCTAAATTCTAAGAAAATGCATTTTCTACGAAAACTTGAAGAGATGGATAAAAAATGGTATAATACAATTTGATAGACAATTATATTGTGCATCTGATTCACGTAAAGTATATAAGGTGTTCCATTTAAATTAAACAAGTTATTGCCGCTTAAAGCTAGTAATTATATAATATAAATTTTTGGACACTCTGTATAAGGTAGTAAAATTTTTATTATTGCAACACAATATCTGATCACTAAATAATCTTCAGTAAATATTTAGTATTAAAAACTTTGATACCCTAGGAGAAATGAAGCCTTAAAATTTTTACTGCAATTTCATAAAATTGAAAATATTTCAAAAACGGTAAGGTTTAAGTGTGATAAACCTTAATCAAATTTACCTTTATTTCAATCGTAGAATCCAAAAAAAGAATAATATACAGGGTGTTCCATTTAAAAAATACAACTATAATCTGTATCTTGTAAAAATATTTTTAAATTGTAGCTCTAATAGTCCTTCAACGAACCCAAAACTTACAAATTGTAAAAATCTAATCGCTTAGCTACAATACTCCGTGTCGTATGTGGTGAACAACCCTGTAGAGGTCGGGGGGTCTCGAAATTGCGTCATAAATATTCTGACTAAATGTGCTAGTAATAACCCAAATACTTAAATGTTATGACACAGCTACGATTTAAATGTGATTTCAATGCGATCAACATTAACAGTAACTAGGATAGAGTGAAATAAAGTTAGCCGGACGGTTCTGATTTCAGCCGCACCGAGCGCTGCGGTCGGAATTTTAAAAATTCGATTGAAATGCATCAAGCCTATTCCAAAATTAATATAATCTATGTTTTAGGCGAAAGAAATGCAGGATCTTTTTACCCTATTTGTAATGACTAGTGTGTCATATACAAAGAGCCCTTGGAGTGAAATAAGGAGTAATGCAGCTTTAATGACTGGTTTGTTGTATTTTGACCTAATACCAGAAAACAAGCAAAAAATATCCTTAGATGCAGTATGTGATAAATTGATAAGATTATTACGTGATGACTCAGATGATGTTAGATTTAAGACTAGTCAAGCAATTGCCTATTTATTTATATAACGTAGATCAAGACGAAAATGATATAAATTTGGTTATATACAGGGTGGTCCGAATTATAATCCCAATTGTATTCGGCAACATATTCTGCGGATAAAAGTAAGTAAAAAAGTTTGTATAAAAACTGTCCTAAAATGTTTAGTTTTGGAGATATGGTGCGTAGAAATTTTATTTCTGTTTCTTTTTTTTTCTATATAATTTCTGAACTAATAGCGATATTTGTATGAAAATTAGTGCCTGGGTGTGTTTTTACATGAGAAATATGATTTCGATGCCAGTATGATTCCTACTTGTAGGGGGCGCCACCTACATATTTTTAAACTGTTTTGAAGAGTATTAACTTTTCGACCGTACCTGTATTGCACTACTGAACATGTTGACTAGTACGTTATTACTATTAATTTATCTAGAAAAAATTATGATTGTTTAAAAAAAGTCCCCAAATTTATCATTTCAGTCAAAAGTAAAAAAAATAAGCATGTTACTAGATATAGTCTATAAAATGAATAACTTTGAATTTTGACCGTTATTTTTTACCAACATGGCAAATATAAAATCCCTCTATCAAAAAAGTTACTGATATTCTTTAAGTATTCTTTAAATTGAGTGTCTGAATCAGATAGGTAACTCTTTTTTTTTACTTTCGTGAAATAGAAAAGGAAAATAATAAAACAAGTGAGAGTTCTTTCTCTGCTTGCAAAAATCAACACGAAATGGCATAATTGTCAAAAGTAAAATGTCATCAGCTTTTGACATTTCTAAATATCAGACCAATGCCGTCTCTAATAGAACAGCCTCGGAGCGAGATTTATGACGTCACGCTAATTAGATACGGATTAATAAATATGTTGTAGAATACATGGAAAACATAATTATTCCTCGTATTTTTGGTTTGTATTTTAAAAATGATATAGTTTACATGAAATATACATAATATACAGTTAATAAATATAATATATACCTATTTATAGTAATAAATACTTTGGCAAATAAACTATGAACCATACAAATGCAGCAAATGTTTTACAATATACAAATAATGAATAGGTACATAAGATAATGGGTAAAATGTAAAATATATTTTAAATTTTGGGGTTTGAAAATCGATCTAATTTAACAAAAAACATTCAATATATACTAATAGTGATGTATTATTATTTGCATTCACAAAATTTATATGTACATATATTTTGCGAGTATCAGTGTTCGAAAAATTATATTTGCAAATAATACAATATCATAGAAAAAAATACGTCAGCGATGGTTATGAAATAAAAATCGCTGTCATTTTATAATGTAAAATTATTCTAAAATTTTTGATTTTCTTGTGATTTAGGTTCGAGAAAAACGCTGATTAAGTTTTCATTTGGGTTTTCATTAATTTTTTTGGTTAAAAAAACGTTCCGGCTAACATTATAGCCTTCATCAGTGTTGTGTCATATAAAAAAAATAGTGTCGAATATAATCCAAAAAATTGCATATAAAATATACACACCACAAACCACATAATGTTTACTGCAATTAATAAACTAATATAAACTTGTCAAAAGATGACCACATATTTTTTAAAATTATTATTCTTAACATTAAAACTATGTACATTGACTATGGAGTACGATTTCAGCCATAGTCAAATATAAGGAATAATTATGTTAGCGTGACGTCATAAATCTCGCTCCGAGGCTGTTCTATTGGCATTGCGTCAGCATGGCCGCAAGTTGCTAACCTAATAAAATTAACACTAGAAAAGCCCGCGGGAACTATCAAATTCAAAGTTATTCGTTTCACAGACTATAGTTACTATCTAGTAAAAATGCTTATTGTTTGCCAACGATGACATGTATGGATAATTTCCACTCCAAATATCTTGAAAACGGTTACTCGTAGCTAGGCTATGCAATCCCGCAAATGCTGGATCCCTCTGAGATTCCGCGGGATCAAAGTTGCGGGATTTACCGTGCGGGATCGACACATTACTACTGGGTAACCGAATCGATCTCGGTCAAAGTCAAACCGCTTCGTTCCGGGCCGATGCGTCGACGCTCGGAACCCGGGGGATTCCCCTTACGGCTTGGCCGTTAAAAATAAGTGAAACAAACACGTTAGTTGTTAGATTTCTTTCTGGCGTATGTGCGTAAGTCCGTAAGCGAAGAAAAGCGTTTAACTAGTACTTGTGGACAATTTCGTCAAATAAACTGCTGGACATAATTATCGGGACAAGCAAAATTTTAGGGTAAATTTCAAGTTGAATATCTCTTGAACTAAAAAAGATTTTGGGATGCGGTTTGGACCAGGTTTTAGATGCATCTATTGTGATTAAGATGCTATGTGGTTTTCGAAAATATATTTAGCGAATTCTCGTATACAGGGTGTTTTATAAAAGTGTGAAAATTTGTTTTTTTTACCGCAAATTTACAATTTTTAAAAAATCGAAAATTTTACCAAGTACGACTAATCTGTATTGAAATTAGATAAAACAATTTGATCGGGTTTTTAATTTTTATTTGTTTAAAGGAAAATACGACGTTTTTTTTCGAAAAATATGTATTTTTAGTCATGCGTATGGTCCTAAATGGTACAAAAAGCTTTGTACATTCTGCATATGCCAAAAAATTATTGATATAGAGTGTATCTAAAAGCAGATAATTAATACAAGTTAAAAAAAACTTCAACATTAGAATAATATTTTTATTTATAAAATAAGTAGATAAATTATAATAAAATTTAAGTTTATTTAATATTGAATGTATTTTTTGAACACCCTGTATACATCGGTCCAGATTTCTGTACAGCTAATTTAAGATACACGCTATATCAATATATTGTGGGCTTATGCAAAATGTACAATGCCTTTTGTACCATTTAGGACCAAATGTATGACTAAAAATGCATTTTTTTTGAAAAAAAACTCGTATTTTCCTTAAAACAAAAAATTTAAAAAAACCCACCAAATTGTTTTTTTCTAATTTCAATACAGATTAGTCGTACATAGTTAAAATTTGGATTTTTCAAAAATTGTAAATTTTCGGTAACAAAGATTCTTGGTCAAATTTGTACACTATTATAAAACACCCTGTATACGAGAATTCACTAAATATATTTTCAAAGACCACATAGCATCTTCATCACAATAGATGCGTCTGAAACCTCGGCCAAACCGCATCCCAAAATCTTTTTTAGTTCAAGAGATATTCATCTTTAAATTTACCCTAAAATTTTGCTTGTCCCGATTATTGTTTACAGTCCCGCAATTTTGCGGATCCGCGGGATTGATTGCTTTAATCCCGCGGGTTTGCGGGATTGAGACTTTGGTGCGGGATTGCATTCTCTACTCGTAGCGATTTTTACCAGGAGACCTGTTTTGCGTAAAAAACAGCGAAAACATATTTTCTCACTAAGTACTTTAATATAGGTACTGACGAAAAGTTATTACTCTCTAAAACAGTTAAAAATATGTAGGTGGCGCCCCCTACAAGTAAGAGTCATATTGACATGGAAATCAAAGGCCTTATTATATCAAAAAACACCTAGACACCAATTTTCATCCAAATATCGACATTTGTTCAGAAATTATTTGGATAAAATTGAAACAAAAATTAAACTTCTATACTCTGTATCTGCGAAACTAAGCATATTAGGACATAAATTTATACGGACTCTTTTACTTATTTTACAGAATATGCTGCCGAAGTTTTCCGAGTACAATTCGGACAAACCTGGTGATGTTATGTATAAGATTTCAAGTCTTAAAATAATTTTTATAGAGGAAGTACGTAAACTGTTTTATAATATTGTTAACATGACTTTTTATTTAGATAATATATATTTAATGTGTGTTTTTATTTGATTTATCATTGTATACCAAAGTAGTATCTTATGTCCATTCCATATTTGTGCTTATATTGATGAAAATATTTACTTTTTGTTTTATATAATATTTATTATAATTTTTTTTTTGATAAATGTTCATATATGTATAACCAAGTATATTATAGGATTATCTTTAGATATTCATTTCATCAAAGGATACTTTTAATTTTATTATTTAAGGGATGATAACTGCGACTCAATTTCTTCCCATGCCAGGCATGGTAAACGGATTCACACAGGAACTACATCTAAAAATAAAAAACTATTGAAATTTCAGTCTATGAAATAATCAGGAATTATTATAATTAGGTAAAAGTATTTCCAAACTCACTTGGACTGGTTTGGGGTGGACGATGCCGACAAAAAAGTGACGAAATTAAGAGACCCAAACCAGTCCACGTGACTTTGGAAGAACTATAGCTAATTAGTTTGAACATTTTTTAAGAGATTGGTATGAGCAGGGGGTTTCTGTCCCAGAGGAGCAAGTGACGGAAAACAGGAAAAAAGGTTAAAAACGCTAATAAACAATAAGATTAAACACCGACGAAGGTCTTATTTTGAGCATTTTGGCTTTTTTATGTGTAGCGGTAGTTTATTGTCTAAACCTGTTTATATTTGTTTATTAGCGTTTTAACCTATTTTACGTCACTTGGTCATCTTCTCCTCCTCTTCCTCTACTAGTATGGTAAACTCGCAATTTGATGGTGCATTTGTAACTAATTGGATAAATAATATATAATAATAACAAAATGGAAATTGTGAAACTCCCGTTGAGAAGCACTTAGTAAGCCGATCTGGCACTTTAACTCCCATCAAATTTATAAAAAAAAACATATTCTACATTACTTTTTATTTGCCCCCCCCCCCCTCTAAAATAAATTCCTGTATTCGCCCCTGCACCCCATCTTTATCACATGCGAAGCAACGAGGCATTTTTACTCCGCATACGAAAAAATTTCTTACTACGTCAAAACCCCCGCATCTACATTGCCGAAAGACGTCAGCTGATCGACTAGTTAGCGTAGGAATGCGGACCAGAGGGAGGAACACGGCAATCTGCGTCCTCGAATGCTCGCGCAGCAGCCCGCGACATTTTTGTTTTTTATGCTCTTCTAGTGACTATGGCGCCCTCTAACTTTGTCCCCGTAGGTTTTAGAGGTTTGTTACTTCGAGATGAAAATGTATAGAATTTAATTCTCTTCATTTTTTGTTCCATAAAATTTTCTGTGGGGCCTATGGTTTAGCTAGAAAATCGAATCCTAAATTTTTTGGACTTTCTCAAAAACGGTGGGGTGTCGAAAACGGTCTCAAAGTATGAGAGCGGGGATAATTTGATGGGAGTCTAGACTTTTTTTGATGCCAGATTGACTGTACTAACTGTCTCACTTAGTAGAAATAAGTCTATATATAAGTAGGAGATCTATTTTAAAATAAAATATATTACTGTTTTGTTTTTATTGCCGGTACCACAATTAAGTTGTTCAAAATCACTATACAGGTTGCTACAAATTCGAGGTACGAGCATTGGTAACTCGGTAACCGTAATAGATACGAAGATGGTTAAATTGGGGCAAAGTTGCCACTTTGGGATGTTCACCAAGATGCCATCAAAAAAGTTTTAAAAATTTCGAGGATTGCTGAGTTTTTTGGAAAAAACGGATATTTTTGAAAATCGGTTTTATTTTTTCCTGTCGATACTTTTTAGAAAATCAAAAAACTAATTGCACATTCCATAGCCACTTTATTAGGGCTATGGAATGTGCAATATTTTTAGATTTTCAAATCAGCTGATAATTTGTGAGATACAGAGGCCAACTTAATTTTTAGCTGACCATACCAATAGGTATGGTAGGCTATTAAGATCGGCAAAAAAAGTTTTTTTAATTTGACTCAAAATGAGCTATTGGGGTCATAAATGACCTAAATACAAAATATTTTCATGGTGTTTGTCTGTCTGTCCGTCTGTAACACTCAAAAACCGCTAAACCGATTTTAACCAAATTTGGCACAAAAATACTGTGGCACCCGAGAATCTGGCCATTAATTTTTGGTACAAGGGGGGTGTTAGTTAGTTTTGGGGTTGGGGGGTTGGTAAGGGGGTATGGGAGGGGGTTAAAAATTAAAAAAAAATCGTAACTCCAAAGTTACAGTAGCTCGCGAAACGTGGTTTTCAATTTAAGATTAGCAATAATATTTGCAACAAAATTTGTAATAACATCAAAATCAGTGAAAGTCGCAGTTTTTGAGATAAAAAAAATTGAAAAATTCATTTATTTGAAACTAAAAGAACTGGCTACCAACTTTTTATTAACATATTTTAGTATGGGCGGCTATACGTGCCTGCCGGCGCCAATTTTTTTTATACAGGGTTGTTCACCACATACGACACGGAGTATGCTCTCGACACGGATTTCAGCTCTACAAAATACGAATATACGAAAGAGAACACGCCAACTAAATCAGATATAAATAAATTCACTTATACAGGGTTGTTCACGAGATACGACACGGAGTATTGTAGCTAAACGATTAGATTTTTACAAATTGTAAGTTTTGGGTTCGTTGAAGGACTATTAGAGGTACAATTTAAAAATAATTTTACAAGATACAGAGTGTCCCAAATAAGTAAAAAATATCAAAGTTGTATTTTTTTAAATGGAACACCCTGTATATTATTACATTTTTAGTTCCTACGATTAAAATAAAGGTAAATTTGATTAAGATTTATTATACTTAAACCTTACCGTTTTTGAAATATTTTCAATTTTGTGAAATTGCAGTAAAAATTTTAAGGCTTCATTTCTCCAAGGGTATCAAAGTTTTTAATACTAAATATTTACTGAAGTTTATTTACTGATCAGTTATTGTGTTGCAATAATAAAAATAATACTACCTTATACAGAGTGTCTAAAAATTTATTTTAAATAATTATTAGCTTCAAACGGCAATAACTTGTTTAATTTAAATGGAACACCCTGTATATTTTACGAGAATCAGATGCACAATTTAATTGTCTATCAAATTATATTATAGCATTTTTACCTATCTCTTTAAGTTTCCGTAGAAAATGCATTTTCTTGTAATTTAGAACTTATTTATCAATATACCCATGGACTATTGACATTTTAGATTATTTTTAAAGATGTACCAAATTTTTAAAGAGTACAGATACTAATATTGTCGATATAATTCGTTTATTTCATTAAAAATAAAAAAAAACTGTTTAAATATTTGTTAAAGAGGACCAATTAATATGATTCCAGTATTCAAACTACATTAACTGACTGTTTGCGTTAATTAATAATAATTGCTCCAAATACTAAAAAACTGAATTTTGTATGGGCATTAGACAGTGTGATAAAAAGTAACACCTTAAAAATGATATTTAATTTTTTAATAAATGCTTATTTATAACAACAAAGACTTCAATTTGATAACTTATTATATTGATTTTTGACTCAAAAATCCACATTTATTTATAATAATTTATTAACGAACACAATTAAGTATGTCATTAATTAGTATATGGGCGGAAATAATGGTGTTATATTTAATTAATGGTATACTCTTTTATAAAGATTTAAATAGTTTTCTTTTTGCATACAAATGGGCTAGTAATATTATCGTATTGCTAAAAACGATAATATTACTAGTCCGTACATTTTGTACATTTGTTGCTTTAAAAACAATCTAAAATGTCAATATTCCATGGATATATTGATAAATGAGGTCTAAATTATAAGAAAATGCATTTTCTACGAAAACTTGAAGGGATAGGTAAAAAATGGTATAATACAATTTGATAGACAATTTAATTGTGCATCTGATTCTCCTAAATATACAGGGCATTCCATTTAAATTAAAGAAGTTATTGCCGTTTGAAGCTAATAATTATTTAAAATAAATTTTTAGACACTCTGTATAAGGTAGTATTATTTTTATTATTGCAACACAATAACTGATCAATAAATAAACTTCATTAAATATTTAGTATTAAAAACATTGATACCCTTGGAGAAATGAAGCTTTAAAATTTTTACTGCAATTTCACAAAATTGAAAATATTTCAAAAACGGAAGGTTGAAGTATAATAAACCTTAATCAAATTTACCTTTATTTTAATCGTAGAAACTAAAAATGTAATAATATACAGGGTGATCCATTTAAAAAAATACAACTTTGATTTTTTTAATTTATTTGGGACACTCTGTATCTTGTAACAATATGTTTAAATTGTATCTCTAATAGTCCTTCAACGAACCCCAAACTTATAATTTGTAAAAATCTCATCGTTTAGCTACAATACTCCGTGTCGTATGTGGTGCACAACCCTGTATACGGACCTGCATTTTTTATTTTAGATTTTGAAAGAACTCGCTCTCCTAAGTACAATGATATGCGACACTTAATATTTTTTTTGTTTTCGAAAACTTAACAATGACGTGGGTTGGATACGGAAAATCAAATGCAATAAAAATAATAAAAAATAATATAAATAAAATGTAATATAAACAATTAAATAATTTCCCCGGAAGATGGATTGGAAATGGTAGAGCAGTATAATGGCCAGCGAGGTACCTGGATCGTCTGATGACGTGAAGTAATTCGACAACTCCAAATTTTACAAAAAAGTGAAATCAACACATCTGGGCAGTTACAATAAAGAGTACAAAGTGCATTCGAATGTATAAGAAAATCTATTCAAAAGCTATAAATAAAATGAACGAAAAATAAATTTGTGAATAGTAGAAGTTAATTTATTCATAATAACTACGATTAATATTATGCAAATTATTAGATCGTACACTGAGAATTTCAAATGCACATAAGAAAAGTTAAAAATAATATCTTTAAATTGCTGATCTGGATATTATTTATTTGAATCTTTCAATTGGCTCAATTTTCCTTATTCAATGTTAATTGGCACTGATTAATATTGTTGCGATGAATATAATCAGATTAAATA